GTTCAATGTGACTTTGTTTATGTTTGTCCCATATTACGTTTGTGTTTGATAAACCATAGAAGTTTTACAGCCAATATATATTGTCCCGGTGTGCCGTACATGTATGTTTGTAATTGTTTTGTACAGCTTACTCTAGCTGATTAAAAGTCGGCCAGTACATAAACTGAACCGGAATTTACAGTGTGCCATGTCCGAAAATGTATGAACGACATATGCCGCCATATCGGAAAGGTGTGTACCTTGGACCTATTTATTTTAAGGAAATAGAGGGGACCTGGGTGGTAGTTGTATGACAAAATTTTAGAAAGCATTACAGGGGAAGAAAGTTCCAAACCTGACACTGAGTGTCAAGTTTGTACACAAATATTGTGATCAGCGTTTTAGTAACTTTTACTGTGCCGAGAGCAAATATCAATTAAAGAAACTATTTCCAACATATTATTAAGCACGACAATAACTACAAATAACACTATTTACTTCTTTTTAAAATTAACACTTTGAGTGGTCGTTCATTTTTTTCCCATTTTCGAAACCATTCAAGGTTTTCCATTTTCGCACATATCATGAATTCGAATTTCATCCGGTTTAATACCCAGGGTTAGTTCATCAAGGTTAAATACCCAGGGTTAGTTTATCTAGGTTTAATACCCAGGATTAGTTCATCCAGGTTTAATACCCAGGGTTAGTTTATCCAGGTTTAATACCCAGGGTTAGTTTATCTAGGTTTAATGCCCAGGATTAGTTCATCTAGGTTTAATACCCAGGGTTAGTTCATCCAGGTTTAATACCCAGGGTTAGTTTATCTTGGTTTAATACCCAGGATTAGTTCATCCAGGTTTAATACCCAGGGTTAGTTTATCCAGGTTTAATACCGAGGGTTAGTTCATCCAGGTTTAATACCCAGGGTTAGTTCACCCAGGTTTAATGCCCAGGGTTAGTTCATCCAGGTTTAATACCCAGGGTTAGTTCATTCAGGTTTAATACCCAGGGTTAGTTCATCCAGGTTTAATACCCAGGGTTAGTTTATCCAGGTTTAATACCCAGGGTTAGTTCATCCAGGTTTAATACCCAGGGTTAGTTCATCCAGGTTTAATACCCAGGGTTAGTTNCGTTTGATTTCAAATGAAAGAAACCGAATGCTTTTCTCTCTGGTTAGTGTTAGTTCATCCAGGTTTAATACCAAGGATTGGTTCATCCAGGCTTAATACCCAGGGTTAGTTCATCCAGGTTAAATATCCAGGGTTAGTTCATCCAGGTTTAATACCCAGGGTTAGTTCATCCAGGTTTAATAAAAGGGTTAGTTCATCCAGGTTTAATACCCAGAGTTAGTTCATCCATGTTTGATACCCAGGATTGGTTCATCCAGGCTTAATAGCCAGGGCTAGTTCATTCAGGTTTAATTCCCAGGGTTAGTTCATCCAGGTTAAATACCCAGGGTTAGTTCATCAAGGTTAAATACCCAGGGTTAGTTCATCAAGATTTGATACCCAGGATTGGTTCATCCAGGCTTAATACCCAGGGCTAGTTCATTCAGGTTTAATACCCAGGGTTAGTTCATCAAGGTTAAATACCCAGGGTTAGTTCATCAAGATTTGATACCCAGGATTGGTTCATCCAGGCTTAACACTCAGGGTTAGTTCATCCAGATTTAATTCCCAGGGTTAGTTCATCCAGGTTAAATACCCAAGGCTAGTTCATCAAGGTTAAATACCCAGGGTTAGTTCATCCAGGTTTAATACCTAGGGTTGGTACATACAGGTTTAATACCCAGGGTAGTTCATCCAGGTTTAATACCCAGGGTTAGTTCATCTACGTTAAATACCCAGGGTTAGTTCATCCAGGTTAAATACTCAGGGTTGGTTCACCCAGGTTTAATACACAGGTTTATTTCATCCAGATTTAATACCCAGGGTTGGTTCATCCAGGTTTAATACCCAGGGTTAGTTCATCCAGGTTAAATACTCAGGGTTAGTTCATCAAGGTTAAATACCCAGGGTTAGTTCATCAAGGTTAAATACCCAGGGTTAGTTCATCAAGGTTAAATACCCAGGGTTAGTTCATTCAGATTAAATAATCAAGGTTGATTCATCCAGGTTTAATGCCTAGGGTTATGGGTTAGTTCATCCAAGTTAAATAACCTGGATTAGTTCATCCAAGTAAAATACTCAAGGTTGGTTCATCCAGGTTTAATGCCCATGGTTAGTTCATCTAGGTTTAATGTCCAGGGTTAGTTCATCTAGGTTTAATGTCCAGGGTTAGTTTATCCCAGTTTAATATCATTGGTTAGTTCATCCAGGTTAAATACTCAAGGTTGATTCATCCAGGTTTAATGTCCAGGGTTAGTTCATCCAAGTTTAAGATCATTGGTTAGTTCATGCAAGTTTAATACTCATGGTTGATTCATCCAGGTTTAATGCCCAGGGTTAGTTCATCTAGGTTTAATACCATTAGTTAGTTCAAAACACAGTTCCAAGTTACAATTTCGTCATAAACAGTGTTTCTTTAAGAGCAAAAAAGTTTAAATTGGTATGGCAGAAAAAGTTGAAACGGGTTTCCATCAAATCATATCAACTTATCCTGGTGAGATATTTTTTTTCAAGATATACACTTGTATAGCTGGAGGAGAGATTGATGTTTGCAGCAGCATATTTGGTCCCCTCCGAAGGAGCTGAGGCCACAGGTGGGAAATTTTTCCACCTGAGGGAATGTTTTTTTTTTTATATAATGCTAATTACTCCATCGCAGGAATGGTAAATAACACTCTTGACACTAATTACTCCATCGGAGGGATGGTAAATAACACTTAGGACACTAAATACTCTACCAGAGGCAAGGTAATTAACACTCAGGACACTAATTACTGCATCGGAGGGATGGTAATTAACACTCAGGATACTAATTACTCTACCGAAGGAATGGTAAATAACACTCAGGACACTAAATACTCTACCGGAGGAATGGTAATTAACACTAATTACTGCATCGGATGGATGGTAATTAATACTTGGAACACTAATTACTCCATTGGAGGGATGTTTAATAACATTCAGGACACTAATTACTCCATCAGAGGGATGGTAATTAATACTTGGGACACTAATTTCTCCATTGGAGTTAGGATACTAATTACTCCATCGCACGGGTGGTAATTAACACTCTCGAGTAATTAGTATCCTGAGTGATAATTATCATTCCTCTGATGGCGTAATTAGTGTCTTAAGTGCTAATTACCATCCCTCCAGTGAAGTAATTAGTGTCCTGAGTGTCATTTAACATCCCTCCGGTGAAGTAATCAGTATCCTAAGTGTTTATTACCTTCCCACAGGTAGAGTAATTAATGTCCTGAGTGTTAATTGCCATCCCTACAATGGAGTAATTAGTGCCCTGAGTGTTTATTTCGGTTAGTGTATGACGTTTGTTCACACAATTTTTTTCAACAAACGCTCTTTATATGCCAACTTCTATTAATTTTTACAATAAATAAAATGTTTTCTACGCCCCCCCCCACCCACTCTAAACCATTGGGGGGGGGGGGAGATTTCGATCTTTTCAATAGTCCAAGTTTATTTTCTCGGGGGTTTCTTGAAAGCATCCACATTTTTTCACCAGAAAGAAAGCAGAGGAAAAAGCAATACTTTAAAATTATTAGCTCATAAAAGATTATTTGACTGAAACGTGTAATTTCTCAAGACTAATTGAGTAAGGCATTTAAGTGGATTTAACGGATCGGTCAATATTTCAGAAAACTGTGACTTTCGATCACAATTTGACCCCTTTAACATAATTTTATAGCCTTTTATCTTAAATATTTTTTTGTTGGCATATACATTTTGAATGAAAAAGTATAAAGAAATCTTTAAGTTTAAAGACTGTTGAATTATAGACGAAAGCACGTTTGATTTCAAATGAAAGAAACCGAATGCTTTTCTCTCTGGTTAGTCCGGGGTGATTATATTTGATTGCTTTTGATGCTTCCAAATGTTGTCTTTGATGGTTTAATACAATTAAAATTTAAAAACCGTGAACGTCCTCCCGCCAATATTAGGGTTCTAATGAATCTGTTTAGAATGATAAAACTTAAAAAAAACTTTTGGATTATTCCGTGTAATTTCAAATGAAATTGTAACATCTGGAGGGTAGATTTATTTGAACATCGGTTAAGAAAGGTTCAGTTTTTAATTTCAGATTTCCAGGAAATGTTTCATTTGCTTCATGATGCATTTACGGATCCAAATTAATCCGGAAGATATTAGTAACCCTTGCTACTTTAAGCCAATATGTTTTACTCAACTAGAAACAAAATGTTTGGAGATTATTTGAAGGATTCACATCTATATATAAATTCGGCTTGTCCGTCTGTCTGTCTGTCTGTTTGTTTGTTTGTATCCAATTAACGTCAAAACGGGTGAACCGATCGGGCCCAATTTTTTTGTGGGACATCTAGGGACCCCAGAGAAGGTTTATGAATGAACAAAATTTCAAATATTTGTCTCTATCAAAATTCGATCTTCATTAAATTTTTTAAAATTTTGAAAATCCACGAAATTTTTTGTGAAAATCCGCGAATTATTTTTGTTTTGTTTTACGATGTACACAAAGAGAACATGTTCACAATTAATTTAGAAGATGGGCGCGAAACACCCTGTAAGGCTAGTATTCATACATATAATGATATAAAGTAAGACTGTCACAACATGAAACACCGTGCCGTGCCCAGCAATAAACAATAAACAAAAGAACAATTTCTGAGCATATTTAAAAAGTTTAATTATAAATATGTCGCCTATCTGCTTTATATTTAATATATAAGATATTCTATACAAGCCATAGGATTTTCTTCATTTGTTTGGCTTCTTAGAATCATTTTTATCCTGTCTCTAAAATAAAAAGTTTTTAAACTACTTCAGTACTGACCGTAATCAAAAGAGTTTGAATTGTAATGACTTTTTATTTGTATAAAGGTTTTAGAAATTTAAGTATTAAAAAACAAAGATTTTTGTTCGGTCCTTATTTAAAAAAATACATTTTTCAGATGAATTTAAGTATAACCCTAGCTTTAACTGACTTTGAACAGCATCAAGATAAAGAAGAGGATAGAATGCTGGACATTGATGTCCATTCCTTCATTGCCTTGGACCTTATGAAGAATATAAATGTTTCTGGCAGAATTGAGATTGAGGCTTCTTTAGGTTTAATCTTCAAGGGTAAACAGATTTAATTTATTTTATATTAATATATTCTTCGTTTTTATTTATTTTTTTTTCTTGCACGGGAATCTAAAAATATTTTTTTATCTTATGAACATTATCAACTTAAACGTTAAGAACATTTTTTTTGTTATTTGGTGAAGAATTAAGTATTAATCGATATGTCTTAAAATATGATGTAAAAATTAAGTTTTAGCTTAAAAAAGCAAGTGTCTTACTCAGAGTTGGATTCTTATTAAAAATTACCGAGATCGCCTCAAATACACCCCACTTCCTGCTTCACTTCCTGCCCCTCCTTGTCACAAAGTATAACTCCTCTTTTTACACTTGTCTTGATCCTTTCTATTGATCCCTCTTATCTTAGATATGATTATTTTTTTTACATGACAAACTATAAGATTCTATATAGTTAATCAGATTAATCATATTAGTATTTTTGCAATTAAACTTTATCTTCATCCCATGCTACTTAGTATTTTCATTTCTAAAAGATGAAACACTTTAAAATATATGTAGGATTATTAAAATGTATAAGGTATGCGCAGTTTACTGTATTTGAAAAAAATGGTGGTTTTCAATCACGTACTCATGATTAAAACAACTATTGCTCTTTTTTTAGGGTCTCTGTTTTTTCATTGTTTAAGTAAGTGTGAGATGATGACCCCCTAGATTAAATAAACTATTTTTTGCTGATAATTTTTTCCGCCGCCTGCAATTCAATGTTTTTTCCTTAAAACTTTAATATTTGAATAAAATTCATAAAGTTTCCAATTATGAAGAAAGTCAAAGTTACAATAAAATAAAATTTGAAATTGAATTCTGTATTATCTCCACAATTTCGGTGGCGTGGCAATATGGAGAGTGGAAAAAATTTAAATCCCTTTAACCTTAAAAAATACAGGGTTAACCAAAAAGAATGAGGCTTTATTGACGTCATAAAAACTTTTAAATGAGACGATCTTAGGGTTAAATGTGGGGACTGGGGAGTGGGTACAAAACGTAAATTATCAAAACGTCGATGATTCAATAATGGCTAAAAATGTCGAATAACAAAACGTCGAAATTACAAAACGTCGACTGCAACAAAACAATTTGACTGCAACAAAACTTCGACTAATACAAAACATCGACTACTACAAAACGTCAACTGCTATAAAAACGTCGACTGCTACAAAATGTCGACTACTACAAAACGTCAACCGCTATACAAAACATCGAATAGCATTTTTTGAATTCTAAAAAACACTTTTTTTTTTAAATCCGCGGAAATATTTTTGAAATACGCAAAATTGGTCACTTTCAATTCATTTTACGATTATGGCGATTTTTTGCCGTTGCAGCTAATTTGATCTTATCTTACGAGAAGGGGAGGAGTTTGGAGGAAAAATAACACAGCTTGTAATACTGTAATTGTAATAATTGTTGTCACTGTAATAGCCTGCTCTAGCCGCAGCGCTCGGCCCAGAAACCCAACCCAAAATAATGTGAGAGACAGCACATTATTCAAGCGCATCCTAGCCGCAGCGCTCGCCCAAGAAATTGTCCTAACCTAACCCAAAATGATGTGAAAGGCAGCACATTATTTAACGTCTAAGATGCCACAGAGCTCAGCTCCCTAGCGCCCAAGAAATTGTCTTAACCTAACCGAACCCAACAAATGTGAAAAACAGCACATTATTTAATATTTAAGAGGCCGCAGCGCTCGGCCCCCTATCCTATCCTAGCCGTAGCATTCAGCCCACAAATTGTTTTAGCCTGACTTAACCCATCATAATCTAACGTTTTGTATCTGTTGACGTTTTGTAGCAGTCGACGTTTTGTCAGTCGACTTTTTGATAATCGATTAATAGATATTCTACGATTTGATAATTGACGTTTTGTACCCGCTTTCTTTTTGGAAAGGTTTATTAAAGACTGAATAAATTCCTTTCAGTCGTCTCTGAAATCTAATCCTTTGTAGGTAACCCTGTAGTCTGTATTATAAAGTTGGGAAGTGCATTTTTTCTAAATCCATTGTTTAATTATGAAGTATTCCAGTCCAGCTATAGCTACTTAGTTTTTAAGCATCCTGAGCCGGCGATTTAAAAAATTCAAGAAAATACGACTCGGGTCTAAGCTGTTGTTGAGCCTTATTTACGGCTCGGGCTTTCGGATTTAAGTTGCTCTAATTTTCAACAGAGTTTAGTTCATAAAACTTAATTTTGTATTTGGCGGATTTTCATAGTTGGAATTGGCGCATTCCGGGTTTTGATGAGAAGAAGACCCAACATTGAGCCTTATTCTTCACTAAAACCAACCAAGGTCGGTTTTATTTTCATTGGGCTTAACTCCTTAAGTCGAGCCTAAGATCTCGCAGCTGTCAATCACGTGACACAAGCTGTTGTCAGAGTTGGGTCGAAGATTGGGTCTTAAAGTCGGGTTTAAGGAATTACGGCTCGAGCCGAAGTCTTTAAATCGCGGGCTCAGATTTCTGGCACTTATACAGCATACTAATTTCTAGCACTATAAGATCTACTTGATCGGAACGATTTAAAAGATATTTTTTTTGTTGAATTTATAAGAGCATATGTTTATATCAATCATATGTTGATAAATATATTAACAAATGAAGGATAAGTTTTTGATTACTTTTGAAAAGCTTTCAATAAGAAATTATAAATAAAAAGATTAAATGAAATGAAAACTTGGCGGCTTAATAAATCTCCTTATTTTGATTAAAGATTTAAATAAAGATTCTAATGGAAATTCAGACGAAAGAGAATATCACGGTAATAAATCCAGAATCCAATTCAATTTACCCAATCCTTCTCCCCTACTGCCCCCCCCCCTCAAGACATCTGGGCAGTGGAATCTAACATATCTCATTTCTTATAATGTCCATATGATTAGTGTATGATACATGGAATTATGCCCTTTCGTCAAAGTTTTTAACACTGAATGGTCGTTTTTGGCTTGGACTGTTAGTCGTTTGACTATATTGTTTTAACATTTGGATTTGACCCTATAGATCGTCTGACCATGTCAGCAATAACCATGAATGATCTATTTGGTGACTTGGTCAAAAACAGTCAAACAGTCTTTGCCTCAAACTCAAACAGTCTAATTACTATATATTTTTGCAATATGTTGGTGTAAACCTTTGATATGTCAAACTTAGATGATTAAATCCAACAGAAATGATAGTTTGAAATATGTAAAATCTACGACATTGGATTGCAACTTTATATGGTTAAAAATCAGAATTTGTTGCAAAAACTCAATTCCATTGCTAACAGTTTTATTTTTGTTCGATAGTCAAATTTTGCGTAATGGAATTACAGCTAATATGTAAAACAGTACCCCACAGAGTAAGTCCCTCCCCTCCCCCACCGGCCGCCCCACGCGGGAATTCAAGATAAGTAGCAACTATAGCAATAGTGATTTTTCCCTTTTCTGAAAAATAGCAATTTTATTTCCTCTAAAATTTAATAACAAATTATTTTAGGCACTTCTCGCATAATTCAATCACAGAGAAAAAATTTCCTGACACAACGTCTAGCTTTAAACTTACATATTAATATAATAAGTAAAGAATTATAGTAAAGGCGAATTTTTAAACGTCCCTACAAACCCGAAAACCTAAACATACCAAAGTCTCTATATAGGTATACATATTACATATTAATAGGTATTTTTACGTATAAATACGTATGCTCAACTTTTGGGTAAAGAACTTAGGTATATTTACGTATTTTTACGTATTTATCATACAGAGCAATTTTTTTAGATGCTTTGGTTTTCCAGAAACGTATTTATACGAAAAATTACGTATACTTTTTACCAAGTAATTTTTCAAAATTTTTAGGTTTTTATTTTACGTATTTTTACGTATTTTTTAGGTTTTTTCATTACTTAAAAAATTGTATTTCTTTTAGAGTTTAAAAGTTTGATGCAAACCTAAAAATACGTATAATTTCGTAAATTTCATACCAAGAAATTTTTTCAAAGTTTTTAGGTTTTTATTTTACGTATTTTTACGTATTTTTTAGGGTTTTTCTTTACTTAAAAAATTGTATTTCTTTTAGAGTTTCAAAGTTTAATGCAAACCTAAAAATACATATATTTTCGTAAATTTAATACCAATAAATTTTTCAAAGATTTAGGTTTTTATTCTACGTATTTTTACGTATTTTTAGGTTTTTTTCTATACTTAAAAATTGTATTTTATAGAGTTTAAAAGTTTGATGCAAACCTAAAAATGCGTATTTTTTAGTAAATTTCTACCAAGTTTTTTAGGTCTTAATTTTACGTATTTTTACGTATTTTTTAGGTTTTTTATTTGCTTAAAATTTTTTTTTTCGAGTTTGACTCAAACTTAAAAATTCGTATATTTTCGTAAATTTTATACCAAGAAATGTTTCAATGTTTTTTAGGTTTTTACTTTACGTATTTTTATGTATTTTTCTTTACTTCATTTATTAAGAGATATAAAGTTTAAGGCAAACTTAAAAATTCGCATATTTTCGTAAATTTCATACCAAGTAATTTTTTTAAGTGTCAATATATTCACGAAACCTCAACTGCGCAAAAATGCATTTTTAAGTTAGAATTTGAAAATATTTTGTATTCTTTTTAAAGAGAATTGTGCTGTAAGAAATTCAATGCAAACATTTTGGAATATGCAATGTTTCAAAATTGCTATCATTTTTGAGTAAATTGATGTTTTCATTAGAATCAATGTCAGTAAATTCTCGATTTTTTGATAAATAGAAGTTTTACTTTGACAGTCTTGTAATAGGTAAAATGGTAATTGTATACAGTATAACACATATTAAATACGTAATTGTTGAAAATACAGACAATATTCATATAAGGATGTTGATTTAGATGGATACAGATGAAGGAATGTTGATGGTGTTAATTTCTGTAGACAGAATATTGGATTGGATTTAAAATAATTAATATCAATGAATATGAATTTAAGAAATTTGTGGAATTAGTCAGGGAATTTTCAGACCCCGGTGGGGTCTGAAAACCCCCTGAATTCAATAGAAATCTTTGGTCCAGGGGGGTGCTTAGCCCCCATTCCCCCCCCTGAATACGCCTCAGAACAATGCCCATGCAAAATTATACTCCACTTTTTTGGTTTTAGAACTTGAAAAATATGTATTTTTACGTATAGGTAAAACCTAAAAATTTCAAAAATTAAGAAATGTTAGATTTTTTTCAAACCTAAATCTACGTATAGGAAAAACCTAAAAAATCCTGATTCATTGCATTTTTTAGGTTTTTTACATACGCATTTTTACGTTATTCCTATATGTATTTTTACAGATATTAAATACATATTTTTACGTATAGGAAAAACCTAAAAATTCTTGATTCATTGGATTTTTATTTTTTTTTACATACGCATTTTTACGTTTGTCAAATACGTATTTTTACCAATTAAATCGTTACGAAAATACATATGTCATACGTATGGAAAATACGTATTTTTACGTATTTTCCATACGTATTTTTACATATTCCTAAACCTAAAAATACTTATATATACATATGTCATACGTATTTTTAAGTTTTCGGGTTAGTAGGGGTGTTACAATTTGATTCAAGGTGATTTGTCGTTTTTAGTCTTTCGTATCTTATATATCTGGTAATTTGGAGATAAGTGCCTGATGTTAGCTTAACTCTAAAATATCAAAGTTATAGGACATCTTTTATCAACAAAGTTTTATCATAATGTGGAGCAGTATAAAACGGGAGGGGGAGAGGGGGTGATAATCACAATCGCCTCTCAACTTTAACTCATTAACTCTTTGCTACAAACTCAAACTTTCTTAGCATTCTGATTGTTTTTTCAAACTTAAATTATTTTATCTAAAAGAATAATATGTGTGTAACTTTAGTTTCCAAAGATATAAGAAATAGAAAATCTTATCCCGTCCTTTATAATTAATCTCTAATCACAAAATACACTTAAAGTACGGGCATTTATAAAATTAGGTCTACATTTTTGCGATTTTTAAAACCTATATTTGTGTTACCCGATGTTATGTTACATCAAATAGACTAAGTTTGAAACATCAAAGGTTTTCACAATCAAAGATTGGAAAATTAGAGTTTTTAACAAAAACTACGGTAATGCTGTTAGCATGCACATGCCTGAAATTTGTTAGTCATACGCTGACTTTTAGGTACAATTTTCTCTCTGATGATATTACTTACTATGTGTGGAAACAGTCTGGTTCTCATAGCAATATCTAACAATACGGTTAGTACGGTTAGACTTTATACTTTAATTATCAATAAAAAAGAAAATAATTTGTATTTTTTATTGGTCGAATTGTCTTTAATAATTATAAATAATTCTAACACAATTTTATAAGTAATCTTAAACCAGTGCACATTATAGCTAAAACCTACCCTTCCTATTAGCAAAATTCTTTTCATATTGTATAACCTAGGCCATAACCCTTTTTGAATACAATGCACATATGCAATTAAGTACAACTGACTACAACCACTTTTTTTAGAACATGCTAAATTTTACAGCCAAATTCTAGAATGTGCAACGCCAAAAGTCATTTTAAAAAGGGGTTCTTTCATAGATAAATAATAGCTAGCTCATGTACGCAAAATCACCCAGAATTTTACAGACATACTCATACTCATACTTCTAAATGAGGACTTCATTTTATTTAAGCATATCATTTCTGAAGGTAGAAAATGTAAGGTCATATGCTTCAATCATTAAGTTCTGAGGTACTTTAGATTTTTCCATGTCACCTACCCGTCATGTAAAACATTGCTATTTTCAAAAAGTTTCAAGCGGTGAACTTTAGAATGGATAACCTTTAATCCCAACTACTTAATCCGAATATCCACTGTGGAAACCTTTAATTTTAGTCCTTAATCAACTCTTTTTCTCTCTCTTTGGATATCAGTACATTGTTTTCTCCAAGGAGAGTGCAGGAATATAGTTCGTAAATTGTATTGGCCAATGACAGCCTTGAAAATAAATTCTATCCCATGAGATAAATCTGTAATTTCTAATAAATAAAGAATTTCTTGTAGCCATTTTGTAAATTTATCGGCGGGGAAAAATATTTAATAATACATTTGAGATTCTTTTTTAACCAATTTTGACTAATGTATTATGATAAATAAATGGATGAGAAATTAAATGAAGGCCCTTCCAGTCAAGAAAACCAACAAATCTGGCTTGAGATTAGCAAAAAGAGAGGATCAAGCATTAATCCTTATATCCACCATTCTAAAGTTCCCAGCTATGATTTTTTTTAAATAAGATCCTTAATGGAAAAAACTTGGGGTGTGGGGTAAACCTTAAGAACGGCAAGAATTAAAGTACGACTAACCAAAAATTAAATTTCTCTCTACAGAACTCATGTCCTCGATGCAGCAAATGTTCACAAACAAGACAAATTACAAGTCAAGGGTCTATTGTACAACATGCTTAAGGGCGTACACATGGGGGGGCAAGGGGTCAGTGTCCCCCTCTTGACCTGTAAAGAACTCAGAGCTATCAAACTTTTAAAATCTCAAACTGAAGAGTGAGGAACATAAAAAAAATTTGTTTGCTGTTTTTTTCTGATAGTTTTATTTGAAGGAGAGATAAAATAGTACTTGTAAGGTAATTGTACTGTGTATACCTTTAAAATATCCAAGAAGCCAAATGTTCTGAATTTTCAGCTAAAATTCCCAAGGGGGGGGGGAAATTTTTCCCCCCCATAGATTTATTTCTGTGTACGCTCTTGACTGCAAGACTCCCCATTGAAAAAATACATCAAAACTTACATCTATTCTATTATATATCAATACATTGAACATTTATCAAACATCTGCATACAATTTATCCATATTAATTGTTGAGAAATGTTGTCGTATCCACAATCTTATCTATGGTTTCTTCTAACAGTGGGAGAGGGGATAATTTGACAAGTTCATGCCAGGTGCATCGCATTTCCCTTAGTAATCTCTAGGGCTGGGCACGTTCAGATGTTTTTCAAATCGTTCCTTAATTTTTGGTTAGTTAAAATAATGGAACGGACAAAATTTTGAGTTATACCCTCGTTCTAGGCTAGAAATTAAACGTTTTTTCATGAACATTATTTTGGATCATTGTAGGAAAACTATAACTTACAATTAGGTGGCAATTAAAATATTTACAAAATTCAAATCATCTCCCAGAAACTATGAAACAAATAAAGTACAAAAGAAAACCCAAATCGGTAGCAATAACATTCATAGTTAAAACTTTTTTTAAATAGGTCTTGCAGCGGCCGTGTAACTTTTTTCTTGCGTCACTTGCTATTGCGGATCTAGGGGTAAGTTACAAGTCCTCCATTTTTAGGTTAAACTTAAGAATAAACTTTAAAATCTTGGATGGTTATGTTGGCTGTTGTTGATTTTCAGATCTTTATAATCACTAATATCCAACACATAATGCTTTGCATGTTGATCTTATATGTAGTCTTTAACAAACAAAAAAAACTCAAAAAATGCAAAAAAAATCTTCTGAGACCAAGAACGTAAACAATTAATTTTATTCAGGTAAACATATTTGTTCCAAATAAACCAGTTAGACATGATATTAAATCAAATTAGAAATGAACTAGTATTCAGGCGTCAGGGTGACGACGGTGGGCAGGATGCATTTTCTCCCTTTATTAGAGCGAATGCCTCGGTCTTGTGTTAAACTTGTGTTAATATAGGATAGATATAAATGTTAATATAGGATGGACAGGATTGATAATATAAGATGAATATGAATGTTCTGATACAATGGATACAAATGTTAATATAGGATTGTTACGGATGTTAATAAAGGATGGATACGAATCACGAATGTGAATTCCTATGGGGGGTAAACAAATGTAAACATAAGAATAAATGTTATTTTAGGATGGATCTGAATTATGAATATGAATGGATTTTGAATGAATACGAATGTTGATAATATTAATATACTCATGGTTACTAAAGATTAATAAAGGATGGATATGATTCATGATTGTGAATGAATACAAATGTTGATAATGTTAATATACTCATGGTTACTAAAGATTAATAAAGGATGGATATGATTCATGATTGTGAATGAATCAAATGTTGATAATGTTAATATACTCATGGTTACTAAAGATTAATAAAGGATGGATGATTCATGATTTTGAAGTAATACAAATGTTTATGTAGAATGCACACGCACATGTTATTTATATGTTAATAAAAAACCACACAAGATATGCCATAATTAATAAAAAAATAAAATAGCAAAAAAAAAATTCTGGTTTGACGACTTGAATGATGATGAAAACTAATAACTTCAAAATGAATTTTATTATCAATAGTATACACATGAGTATGTATTTTTATTAAACTATAACTTTCATTTAAAAAATAAGCCATAACTATAGTTATATCATATATGAACATTAGTATTAGCAATATCAACATTCATATCCATTCAAAATCATCATTTGTAACCATCCTTCATACCAGGAGTCTTTCTAATCTGTTCTACAATGTCTACTATCCCACCCTTACACCTGTCCTTCCAGGAGTCTTTCTAAGCCTTTCTAGTTTCTACTATGTTAATTCTACCATGTTCATTATCCAACCTTTACATCCGTGAAACCAAGAATCTTTCTTTTCCATTCTACCCCTCCTTCCAGGAGTTTTTCTACTCCGTTATCCAACCTGAGCTGGGAACTTTTGAATGGTGGATATCGGGATTAATGCTTGATCCACTCTTTTTCTTAATCTCGAGATTAAATAAGGCTTGTTCTCCTCTTGTTATTAATCTCAAGATTAATTAACTGATCGGGATTAAGGATATCCCATTCTAAAGTTCCCAGCTCTGTACATCTTTTCTACTAGGAGTCTTTCTTATCCATTCCATATTACATTTGTATCCACTATCCATCCTACAGCGTGTCCTGATACGGGGCATAGTACTGATAAATCATCTACACGTGTGATATCGATATTGACTCTAGTTCTGAACCCTCTAGTAATAGGTTATAAGAAATATATATACTGGAAGTTATTTATGCGTTTTTATTAGAGTCTGCCTCACGTCCTCTATAAACGTTTTGTTGTATACAATTAAAATCCACAATTCTAATACCAAAAAATGTGAGTTATTCATTAGAGTCATACTCCAATATAGTGTTTTCCAAAATAACTGAATTTGCACTTTTATATATGATTATTATTAACATTTGTATCCTATATATAATAAAAATTGTATACTTTCACATGATCACTTTTCGTATTCATCTATATATTAACAATACCATCATTCATATCAATCCTATAATAACATTCGTATCCCTCTTATTACAATATTTGTGTCCATCCTATATTAAAATTCGTTTCCATATTATAATAACATTCATATCGGTTGACATTTATCACAATTGTATCCAATGCATCCTTTTAAAACTTCGTATATATTCTAAATCAACATTTGTATTCTTCCTATACTAACATTCATATTCATCTTTAATTACATTTGTATCCAATCAGATTCATAATTTGTATCCATCCTATTTTCCTAGATCATTCAGTTTTACGCTAGACCCGGCATTTGCTATAATAAAGGGAGAAAATCCATCTCATCCATTGTCACCCTGTGACCCTAGCTTAGGTGCGACTCTTAAAATCATATTCTTTGTTCATATCACAATCACAGGTCGGTTCCTTAGTCATGGTGCCGAGTGCTATAGATGAAGTATTTGGATGGTGGCCTTTTGGACCTTTTTGTTGTCAGGTAACTGAAGTTAATTGTGATCAAAATTACTAAGAGGTTTCATATAAACGAATTAAATACTATACTTGTTATTAACACATACAACACATACGTGTTAGAAATAACAAAACATAAAATAACAACATTTATGTTTGTCACACATTCTGGACGAACTATCTTGGTTTTAATTCAATTTTGTTCCATTTGTCATTTAAAAAACGAATTTTCTATTGGATTGGATGAATTAAAAAATGTTTTCTGGTGCTTTTTGCACACCTTGAATATTGATAGGATAGAATTGTTAACTTTAACAAAAAAAATATTTTGAATAATAATAATTATTTTTCAATCTGTTTTAGCTTTACAACGCTATGGATGTTACCTGCTGCACTGTTTCTATATTACATCTGTGTGCTGTTAGCATTGACAGATACTATGCTATAGTGAAGGAACCTTTGCTTTATCAGGTACTTGAGGTAGTCCAAAAACATAGGTAAAACCAAGAAGCATTGGTGAACACATGCCAGGATATTGATACTTTAGTAACAAATACTTTTAAATTCTCTCTACCAATGGAGAAGAACATAAAGATTTTCTCACCTTTTTGCTTAGGAGAAGCGGGGGAAGGCAGGCAGTCACAAAATATTTGCCTTTATTCCCACATAGCAGCCCATAAACTACACCCGTTCGGTCTTTCATGCAACAATATTTGAGTCTTCGGCAATTATTAAGTTTTTATATGATAAATTTTTAGTGCATTGAAGTTGGATTTTCAAAGATCCAGCCGCTATTCGCGAAAGATAATACCTATGAGAAATTTTAGAAGTTTATTAAAGATCAATAATTGTACGCATTGGGGGCACCGAGGGGTAGTCTAAAGAATAAGAAAAGATGAGAAAATCACAATACTAAAGGTCACAATACTACATGTGCAAAGCATTTTTGATCTCCTCCAACTCCAAGGTCTCAGCATCAACACTGACAGGTGTACGTTTGCAGCTTCTACAGTAGATTAACTTAGTATGAGAGTCTCAGAATCAGGTTGTTTCCCTCTAGTTCACACACACACAGATCATCCCTGCCTTTCCCCGTCCTACAGACAAGAAAGGTCTACAACATTTTCTAAGAATTCCTAATTTCTACAGAAGATTTATCCATGGTGCAGCCGGACTCCTGCATCCTCTAACTGAAGCTCTTAAGGGTAAACCTTCAGCTCTGACCTGGAACCTGGAGATGAACCAGTCCTTTGCAGCAGCCAAATCTGTCCTGGCAGATATTCCAACACTTGTTCACCATTACCCCTCCAGATATCATTGTCCATGGTCGCCTCTGGTTCTCATGTTGGAGCAGTCTTGCAGCAAGAAGTATTCAGCTCCTTGGCCCCTCTGGGGTTTTATTCAAAGAAGTTATCTGCCTCAGAGTCCAGATATTCAGCCTTCGTCCATGAAATGTTTGCTGCTTATTCTGCCTTCTGCCATTTCCATTTTCTCCTAAAAGGTAAAGATTTTGTTTTGTTTACCGTTCACAAGCCCTGGTCCGCTATGCAGCAACGCCGCTTCTCTTTCCTTTATAAATTCAACTGTGATGTCTGCCATCTCATAGGAGCAGAAAATGTAGTGGCAGATGCTCTGATCCTACTCATTCATCGGTTGTGCCAAACTCCCCTCGTCCTTATGATGTCTAAGGTGTCTGAGGTGTCAGGTCTGATGGTATACTCTCTTACCTTCTCCTTCTCCAACAGCATCTCTACCTACATTTCCAGGAATTTCATATTCTGAAATGTCACTTCTCCAACAGTCCTGTTCTAAGGTTCAAAACCTCCACCAGAGTCCTCCACCCTGAAGATTGTGCCTGTCACTGCATCCGGTTCCAAACTCCACTGTGATGTGTCAACTGGTGGCTCCATCCTCTAGTCCCAAAGCCAATGAAAAGAGCAGTTTTTGAGTCCATCTACAAAGTTTCCCATCCCAGTAAATGAGCCTCTCTGAGACTTATTTCCTGGAGTTTTGTTTGGGAGTTCTTGTCCAAAGATGTAAACCTATGGGCCCAGTCCTGCATTAGTTGTCAACAGAATAAGGTTCAGAACTCCAGTTCACCATATCCCGGTTCCAGGATGAAGATTCTCCTACATACATGTGGACCTGGTTGGACCTCTACCCCAGTCTTGTTGTTTCTCTTTATCTGTTTACTATCATAAATTGTTCCACAAGATGGCCAGAGACAATCCCTCTGCAGTCCACTACAGCAAAAGATTGTGTGCCTGTCCTCCTACATTCATGGATCCCTCTTTTTGAAGTCCTTCTGTAACAACCTCCGACCGTGGTTCACAGTTTATTGGTTCTCTTTGGTCATCCATATGCAAGTTTTTGGGAATAGTTAATTACATGGGTGCCTGCGTAAGACTTGAACTCAGAATGGTAGTTGGGTTGTATTTACTGAATAAACTATAGTAAACTATTGGAAAAATTTGGTTGGGAATATATATAGATAATGGAGCAGCTTTGTTCTTCATGGAATAAGGTCTAGAAGTAGCCATTCATTGCCTTTTAGACCTCTAAGTTTTAGACCGTTTTCAAAACTTACAAAAACCAAATGATGCGCCTGTGTAAATTGATAAAAACTCCAACCATCCTAAATGATGTAACAATTCAAAATAACTATGTGTTAAAAAAAGGCTGCAAAATTTTCAATTTTGAGGGTCCTATTTGGCCCCCAAATTGCCACTCTAACAATTTAAATCCAAATTACTCTGTGGAAAAAGTTATTTAAATTTGTTTACATCAAAGATCAAAAATTAAACAGAGTAGTTATAATTTAAAGACAGAACAAATCTTAAAATTCATACACTGGGACTTAACTTCAATATGTTAATTACCACACTAATCGATCTTCTTTTATTTCAATTGGCAATCTCCATCACTAGTGTACATTTAGCTTTCAGAGAAGCAACAACTAGGTCTTGCTAGGCGCTTCTAAAAGTATTTGGAGATAAAGGGTATGAGAGAGAAACTAGGGGTGTATATGGGGAGGGGTATACAGTACACCCCTGCTTAAAAATGGGAAAAAAAGGAACTGCAAGTAACAATAAAGGCCTGCATTCATCTTTTAACGCTGTATTAACCTGGAGAATGGAGGTTTTTTACCTAGCTGGATCCAGATTTTGCTATGGACAGTTTTAAATATACTCCTTAATAATAAGCCTGGTTATCTGTTATTAAGTATCTGAACCCCTTGGAATAACGTCAATTCTTTCGATTGAATCTGGTTCTATGTGTAGGCATCAAGGGAGCTTCAGCACAGTCAGGTTCTAATACAACTCTCTCCAGTTTCTTGCGGCTGAGCAGAACCCTGGATGGAAAAAAACATGACAACATGACAGTACACCCTACTGTAGAGAAGGGGGGGGGGGGGGGTTTCTCTATGCTTCTCATCTCCCTCTTGCCAGAAACAAGAAAAATAGAAACATAGAAAATAGAATTCTGATAGGTTGTACATCATGCGCTATATACCAGTTTATACTTTGCCGGATGCGAGGAAAAGAGTGCTTTAGACAAGGCCATATTCTGAAGTACTGTCTGAGATGAACTTACAGGAATTAAGAATTCTTTTCTCGAATATATCAACTCTTTGCCTTACCTTTCTTATCCCATTTGTCATTATAATAGCGGAATTCTGACAATGAATCCTTAGAATTTTCAAACCCCGTTTAGCAGTGATTTTTTTCCCAACCTTTAAGAAATATACCTATATATTGTCTGTTTGTTTGTATCCAATAAACATCAAAACGGCTAAACCGATTGGGCCCAAATTTGGGCCTAATATGACCCCAGGGAAGGTTTATGATTAATCAAAATTTAAAAAATTTGTGTTTAAAAGTTGAAATAGAAGATGGCTGCTAAGCGCCCTAAAAGCCTAGTATAATAAATATGAACACTAGCTTGATGAAAAAGCTCCATAATCAATCCTCAACATAATCAGAGAAATGACACCTCTGCAAATAGTAATATGCGTAATATTAGGAAGAATAAAAGGAAGAGATATGTGTCAAAATGCATTTTCCTCTTGTCTACAAGGGGTTAGAATGCGTAGATCTAAAAGAGAGGAACAGAAAACAAATGTATGGTTACTGCTCTTTAAAAAAAAATTTTTTAAACAAATTTAAATTTAAAAATAAATGTTAAAAATCATCATTACCAATCGCTATGATTGCTATAGTATTTTGTATCAGTCAATGCTGGGCAAATTTAGCATCTACAGAAAAGCGTTCTTTCGTATTTTAAATCAAAAGTATACAGATCTCATGATGGTATGATACTGTATGTATTGCTGATACAAATGTTTTTTGGTCAACTTGAAAATTATTTACATTTTGTATGTAATAGTTAAATTGATAAATTTTTTTGATGGTAAATATTTAGCATTAAAAAAATTATTATTTTTTACTTGTACAAAAAGATTTGCTACGAAGGAAAAGCAAGCTGTTATTAAATAATGTTTTAATAATTTTAGTCGAGTGTGACAAAGTGGAGAACTGTTTGTCTGCTCATTCTAGTCTGGGTTATGGGACTTCTCATAGGAAACAAAGCAATTAATGAAGAAGATTTTAGTGATAAAAATTGTTAACCATTTTTTTAATTGAGAGGATGGCCTCCTGGTATACTTGTTACACACCCCAGCAAAAATTTGCTTGCTTCCCACCCCCTTGCATTATAAATAGGTTTTTCCCCATTTGAGGTAAGACTTTTATGAAAATTTTATAATAAGACATTTACACATAAAGTTGTTTTGGGGTCCTTAGTTTAAAGAAATTGGTCTTTGACACAATCTCAGGAATTTTTAATCCCTACATTTGTAAAACCAAATGTCACAGACCTTTGATATTTCAAACTATGAATTCATAAAATTTTTCAATCATTTTAAGGAGGGAGTGACCGCAATTATCAAAAATGTCAAAAATAGGAATTTTCCGAATGCCTGGGTATCTGGGAAATTTCCCAAATACCTACAGATATTTGAGTGTTGTATATCTTTAAGATTTTGGAAATTTATCAAATGACTGAAATTTCCAAGATACCCAGGCATTTGGGAATTCCCCAAATACCCAGACATATGAGGAATTTCCCAAATACCTAGGTTTTTGGGACACTCCCCAAATATGCCACCCTCAAATACCTATAGGAATTTGGGTAATTTTCCCAAATGCCTGGGTATTTGGGAAACTTTCCAAATGCCTGGGTATCTGGGAAATTTCCCAAATGCCTGGGTATCTGGAAAATTTCCTAAATTTCCCAAATATCCAGTCATTTGAGAAATTTCCAAAATCTTAAAAATATACCACCCTCAAATACCTATAGGAATTTGGGGAATTTCCCAAATGCCTGGGTATCTGGGAAATTTCCCAAATGCCTATTTAAAAAAAATTTAAATGCTGTTGTGTCATGATTTTAAGGTACTTTTAGAAGTCTCAGCACTGAAATCCTAATTAAAAATTTGATTATATTCATCCTTGTTAATTTTCTGAGCAGGATGACAACATCCGCTTTCTTCCATAGCATGAGTTTGATTTAGTTACCAGGGACCAAATTTTATGAATTTGAGCTATGTCGCTGAACTACCAGCTGCCGGGAAAAAATTTGAACCATGAAGTTAAATATTCTGGAAGGATTTGAACCTGTGATTAAAATTTGAGCTGGTTTTAGGCAGTTCAAATTCAATATTTTTTTCCCCAAAATAAAAGATCTGAGGCCGAACTTAAAAAGTTTGAGTGGCGGCTTAAATTTAAGCTGAGGCTCAAATATGGTTGGTGTCACTTAAAATTGTATTCAATGTTTCAAGATTTATGCCGGCACTCAATTGAAACTGGTTTTTTGGCGGATTTAAGACGCGGCTCAAATTCATTAAATTGGGACAATGATGAGTGATGAATGTAGTCTGACAGGAGAAATCATTCGGGGATTATACAATGAAATGGGGATGGGATTATTTTGCTAAACTCAATAAACGGACCTCGTATTTTTTAATATATTTTCATAACGTTAACTTTTTTAACATTTTTTTGTGAAGGTGTGAAAACTGGGTTTAAATGTTAAAAGTGTTAAATGTTGGATCGCTACTAATCTTACTATCTGTTGCGTCTATAAGGAGAAAATTATTAAAACGACTTACACTGAAGAACGTAGCGTCCATACAAATTCAGAAAGTTGCAATATACGACTCGGATCGCAAAAAAATCAAATTAATTTCAAACAAATCATTCGGATATTACAACTTATAGTCATCGATTATTTTTCGACTCATTTGTATAGTTAATATTTAATATTCGTTTTGTATAAAATTCACTTAACCCTATCCCTGCTGGGGTACTTGAAAACCAGGATACGCTGGGGGGGGGTCAATTTGACCCCCCCCTCTAAATCCCATGTTTTATGTCCAAATATGACAAATGATACATCATTAGAAAGCTCTTGTGCTCTACTTTTAGAATCTGCAAACAAATTTGCAAATTTGCAAAATTGAATTTTTTATCGCAAAATCCAGTTATATAGTAAAAATGTTTGCAAAAAAAATTTGTCCAAAAAATGAAAAATAATACATTTTTGAAAAGCCCTTGACCATGCCATTTCAAATATGCAAAAATCTTTGCAAAATTTTAAATAACCTGATTTTTAATCAAGAAAAACTAAAAATGTGCAAATTTCCGTTGACAGGTTTTTTGCAAAAAATTTGCAATTTTTTTCGCAAAACATGTGCAATCAGTTTCCTTATGTCATAGGCTTTCCAAAAAGTTAAATTTTATCAAAATCTGACAAGTGAAAGTGGGTCAAAACAAAGATTTAGTTTGTTACAGGCAAAAGCAGTCATTCAGGCAGTGTGCCTGAGGACTCAGGCAGTTAGTATTAAAGCCCGGTTTTAGGCCTAAAGGGAGGGCTTTGGGTATGTAAGAAAAGTCAGAAAATTTCAACAGCCTCAGACCAATACTTTATGTTATGTAAAAAAAACTACAGGGGGGGGGGTCAAATTGACCCCCCCCAGCAGGAATAGGGTTAAAACGCCAAAATAGTTGGCCGTTAGATATCAATAAGCTCTCGATGCTTTGCATGATTACACGTGGCTGAAAAGAGTCCTTTTAAGTGCACTGTATGTAAAATAAATAACACATATTATGAATATTAACTATATACGAATGCGTCGAAAAATAATAGATGACTTAGGTTGTAATATCTGAATGATTTGCTTAAAAGGAATTGAGTCTTTGCCACAAACTCTGATTTTCGAATCCCTATATCTTTGGATTCCAACGTCGTAAACCTTTGACATTTCAAACTATGACTTTTGTTAGATCAAATAATAAAAGTTTGAAATATCAAAGGTTTACGACATTGGGTTGCAAAGATATAGGGATTATAAAATCTGAGTTTGTGACAAAGACTCTATTCCTTAGATTGATTATTTTATTATACGAGACGCTATATCGTTCTTCAGTATAAGTCGTTTTTAACAATTTTCTTCTTATAGACGCAACAGATACAAGTAAGATTAGTAGCGATCAAAAGCAATTATTTTTCACTGTAAGACAATACTCCCTTTCATTTTTCGCGAACACTCCCTTTATATACAAAATATGTTGTAAATTAAGACATAAACATAAAATCATTTAGTTGCTTTGATCTCAAGGTTTTGTCTCAGTTTTTAGTGGAATGTACACAACAGATACAGTATTAGATAATATATATGAAAACCCACAAGAATGTCATTTTGAGGTAGGAAAAAAAACACATAAACTTTAAAGAAGTAATATTGCCAGTCGTCTGAAAAGTGGTTCAAAAAAGTATATTTGAAATGAATAAACTGGGATAAACCAAGGAGATAATATGGTCTATGACATACGGTTAATGTATGCTTTTCTAATTTTAAATTCATATAGTGGTTTATAAAAGGATAAAAACTTTTATTTAATTTAGGTTAATAAGGTATATAGTGTTGTGGCAGGTGGGGTCTCATTCTGGCTTCCGGCCGTTCTAATGGTTTACATTTATATTAGGTACGTTTTGAATAAATAGAAAAATCTAATTCTGATAAGATAAAAAAAATGGTAAAAAATCAAACACCATTCAAGGGAATTTGCTCTGAAATAAATTAGTTTAAAGAAACTATGGATTTTGTAATCCCTACATTTGTTAAACCAAATGTCACAGACCTTTGATATTTCAAACTATGAATTCTGATGGATCAATTAATCTAAGTTTGAAACATTAAATCATTTTCAAAATATAACTTGCTTTTCTTCTTTCGATATTATACCATCCCCCGATTTAATTAAGCGAGAAAAACTTTAAAAAACCAGATCAATTCATCAAAAATAACAAAAAACCGTGATTAAAACTAGCTATAACTTATTTTCCTCACAGTAAAATTTGTAAAGTTTCTTTTTATGAATATTTATTCCCTCCAAAATGAAGCTTTTTTAATGGTAAAAAAATATATAAGATTATAATCTATTGATATCTTTTGTGCATTTAGAGTATATATGGAAGCAGTCAAATTAGATCTGAAACATAATGTAGTAAATAACCTACAGGTATTTATACTGTCTTATAAAAAAACTAAATTCTGCAAGCCAAGACAAAGAGAATTAAGTTTTTGCCGCAAACTAAATTTTCTAATCCCTAATCTGTACAACCTGATTGTGTATACCTTTGATATTTCAAACTTACATTACTTGTTTTATCAGAATTATATAGTTTAAAATATGAAAGGTCTACGAAAGATTACAGGGATTAGAAAATTAGAGGATGTGGAAAAAAACCTTAATTCCTATGTGAAACATTGAACAGTTCAGGTGTCAATTCTAAAGGAGTAAAATTTTTTTATTTACTTTAAATATTTATTTATTGAAAACAAATTATAAGTAAATTCTACATTTGTTAAGACGAATTATGATAAAATCTTTAAGAATCTTTAATTGTTTATAGATCAAATAGTCACAAAGTATCAGTGCAAAAAATAGTAATGCTTTTTTGAGCAAATTTAGTTAGATTGTTTAATCAATAGATATACCGGTACGCTACAGGATTTTTATCATCACGTATGGTGTTATTTATAAGAGTGAGTTGGTTGTTTAGATCTTCTACAGCTTGGATGACACTTCCAATTTCCTTAGTTCAACTGAACTGATGTGGATCTCTCATAAACTATTATCTTGTTTATTTCTCTATAAGATTTGTAAAGTATTAGCATTCATTTGAAAAGAAGGGACAACCTCGGTTTTAGAAAGTAATTTTTGAGGTTCTTCAGAAGTCTCTTAATAATCCTCTACAGAATCATCTGCAGTATTAAAAAATTAACTTTGCATTGGTTGAGTATCTGGTGGTTTAGTTGAGAAGGCAGGTATTGGGTATCAGGTTTAATGGGTGTAGAGTTGAAATTTAGACTGGAAGGGGGAGCTAATCTTAGAACTGCCTTTGTTACAAGAAGAGAAAGATGCTGAGACCAATATTCAGAGCAAGTGTGCAGGGAATAGAAACTTGGTATGAGGGCCTGAAGGCCCTGGAAGTCTCACTAGGCTTATACTGGCCAGCGTTGAACTTGCTTGTTCCTCATGGGCAATTCTCCTGTTTCATATTAAAATGCTTATCTCCGATCAACAGGTTCCAGTACAAACGTCGGACCCACAAACGTCGGACGCTCCAAAGGTCGGACAGTACAAACGTCAGACTTTCAAACGTCGGGCTGGTACAAATGTCGGACCAGTACAAACGTCTGATGGGTACATTTATAAGGAAAAACGTCGGACTTTTGTTGAGTTTGAAAAAAAACCATTGCTATAAGAAATAAATTAAAAATCGCTTGTTGTTATAAAAATCAAAAACAACTGAATTCATTCATTCATATTTGTATTCAACTACAAAGCATGAGATATTACAAATAAGCAATCACAATTTACTATGCAGTTTGGACCCGCCTAACACGGGTAGGTTATTTTGAGTGTTTGGCCCGAATTAGTTAACTATATTGAATATAATTGGTTACACACATCATTTTATGTTTTTGGATAGGTAAGAAGTTGATTGGAAGGAAGGAGATTTTCAGGTGATCTGTGGCAGGGTGTGATCTATTCACACCATATACAACTAGGTTTTTCGCATTTAAATAAAGGCTCATCTTTCGAAAGTAGCACTGTATAAAACAACAGACCAAAAAGGAGTGGAGTTCAATTGTCACAAACTCTGATGTTTCAATATTCCGTTATCTTTGCAACCCGATGTCGTTTAACATTTAATATTTCAACCTATGAAATCTTTAAGATCAAAAAATTTAAATTTGAAAGTATCAAAGGTCAATACCATTACGGGGTTGAAAAGGTATAGGGATGAGAATATTTAAGTTATTGGCATAAACTCAGTTCCTTTTTATTAGACCAGTCAATAAAAGAAAATAACTTTTTAATAAAAAATCTTAAAATTCGAATAATTTTTTTTCCTTAGTCCGACGTTTGTACTGGTCTGACGTTTGTCCTGGTCTGACGTTTGTACTGTCCGACTTTTATAAGTCTTTAGGTTTGTACCGTCCGACATTTGTGTGTCCGACGTTTATGTGTCCGACGTTTGTACTGGTACCAATCAACAGAATATACCTGAAGATTTGGTTATATGTCTTGCAAAGTCAAGACATTCCAGAGTAAGGTTCTCGGTTCTTGAAATGGAAAAGCTGTTATTGATGGTTAAGTTGTAGTAAAACTGGTGTGTACGTTTTCTGTTGAGTGTATGAGGAGGGAGGGGGTGCAAAGCCGCCATGAGCCCCACGAAATGACCTCGGGAGCCTCCATATACGCAGAATGACCTCCAAGTCTGGCGAAACCATCTTCTTGCCTCTCACTACGTCTATAAGCCTCTGCCATTCTGTCTCAGCGCCCCGCATTTTAAACTCTGCTTGTTGTTTTTATTTTATGTTTACCTTTTATGGCTTAACCAACCAAGAACCAAAATATATCTCAATTCATTCGACAATAGTTTAAAGAATCGTTTAATTCACAAATTTCAAATATCAATTCATTCTATTTATCATAACTTGATTTCTTGTGAAAAGTTTACACAAAGCATATGATAAAAGCATATGATATAAGCATATGATGATAAAAGCATATGATAAAAGCATATGATAAAAGCATATGATAAAAGCATATGATAAAAGCATATGATATAAGCATATGATAAAAGCATATGATAAAAGCATATGATATAAGCATATGATATAAGCATATGATATAAGCATATAATAAAAGCATATGATATAAGCATATGATAAAAGCATATGATAAAAGCATATGATAAAAGCATATGATAAAAGCCCAAATTAATGAATTTCAGAAAAACTATTGTGTTTCGTGAATTGGTGCAGCTTATTATATATACTTGTACATGATTCACCGGTAGAAAAGTATTAAATTTCTCTTATCTTTGTATAAAACTGTAACAGTTATTCACAAGTTAATGAATTTGTGAAATGTAGAAAACAAAAATATAAGTCTTAATCTCAATTAAAATAACTAGACTTTTAATGCAAATTGTTTATATATCATAAACAAAAATATTTTAAATTTTGAGATTGTTCGACAAAGAGGTTTTTGGTGGATGTAAAAGCCAAACATTTATTGGAGACCAAATGCAGGGCGTGAAGACAGAATATGGGAGGCTTGAAGACGTAGCGAGAGACATGGAGACGGTTTCGCGGGGCCCATGGCGCCCAATTGCACCCCCTCCCTCGCATGAGTGTCTTTTGTTCTGATGTAAGGATCAGCTATAAAGCAGGTCAGGCATACAAAGTAACGAGACATGTTGTCGATAACGATTAAAACTCGAGGTCTTTTTATGTGCACTTTCTTAGGTTCATTTACATGAAAACCAGACTTTTAATCCTCCAATCGAAACCAGAAACAGCAGCGAAACTGACATTGGGGTAAGCTAAGAAACTTATTCTATAGTTGGACCGATATTAAGCCAGTTAAACAAGAAAATTATCTAGTATACAGTAAACTTAATTAAAAAACTTTTTTTTTATTTAAATTTTTTTTAACTTGCTAAATCTGTGCTGCAACCAAGAAAGATTGTACCAATTGTATTGATTGTGTGCAGTTTGTACTGTTTGTACAAAATTGTGTTAAAAGTTAATATTTTTTCCATTAAAGGGAATATAGACGTCTATGTCAAATCAAGGATGATGGAGATATTTTTATTTTTCTGAATGAAAATTAAGTGCCAGGAAACTCGATTAAATACTTCAATATGTTACCTGAAATTAGTTCGACATCTTTTTAACTAAGATTCATTTGTAATTAAAATATTTGTAGCTTAACTTCATCGGATTCAAAAGTTCCAGGCTATTAAATATCAATAAGAAATAATTACTAAGATATAAACGAGGTGTCAATAACAATCAATGGAGGCGCTTTAGACATAATATCATCAAGACTTAAAAATGATTACAAATGATTAGTAAATAAGATTAAGAACTTTAAATGAAAGAAAGAAAGCAGCGAAAACACTACTTCAAAAACTTGTCGGTGTAAGAAAATTTCACTTAATTCTTATAATTCAAACCTCTTAACTGTAATTTGTACTTGTGTCGGATCATACAATTGGAATAAAGGAATTGAGTTTTTACCACAAAATCTGACTTTTGAATCACTATATATCTATGCAAACCAAATATTGTAGACCTTAGATATTTCAAACTATAAATGTAACGTTGGATGAAATAATCTAAGTTTAAAATATAAAAGATTTACACAATCAGGTTGCAACGATATAGGGATTCAAAAATCTGAATGTGTGGCAAAAACTCAATTGTATGTGTGTCTTTCAAATTCCCCATTTTAGTCAGTTTTACGTATGGAATAATTTCAGTCCGGCATGATGCTCTCCCCCAGCGGAAATCACACGTCGGCTCAGCTTTCTTCGTCCATGTCGCACCTCAACCCACGACTTGGAGAGGTTTCAAGTTCTATGCTTCAAATTAATCTCAACAGTTCACATGAGCTTTCATCATCAGGACAAAGAACAAACAGAGCCAATGAACGACGGAAGGAAGTTAAAGCAGCAGTTAGTTTAGGTAATTATTTGGCACATAATTATTTTCTTGACATTTTATTTGTTAATCGTTACATGGTTAAGGATTCATCATGGGTGGCTTCTTGGTGTGCTGGCTTCCTTTTTTCATATGGATGCCTCTAGTTCACCTAATGGTAAGTTTTCTTTCTTTCTTTCCTCTCACATATTAACAATTTTATCCTAGGAGATTGAAACACCCCACAACCTATATTTGTACATACAATGGATAGGATACTTCAATTCTGGTATTAACCCTGTTATTTACGGTCTCCATCATCAGGTAACAGCACATTTTCCTGATTCCTGCTTCTATATATTTGGCTGGTTTGTTGGTATCTATCTAATAAACTGCTGAACCAAACGAGACCACATTCTTTATGGAATCTTGCAGGATAGGTTTTTGAACGGTTAAAGGAATTGAGTCTTTGCCACAAATCAATTTTTGTAATCCTTATATCTTTGCAACCTGATGATGTAAACCTTTGATATTTCAAACCTACATTATTTGATCTAACAGCATTCATAGTTTGAAATATTAAAGGTCTACAACATTGGGTTGCAATGATATTGAAATTAGAAAATCAGAATTTGTGGCAAAAACTCAATTCCTTTGACAAATTTAGCCCGATATATCTTCAAGTTTTGAATTCTTAAAGATTTTCTCCTATTTTTAAATTCTGTCTATACGTTAGGGCATAGTTTTTTATCTAATTATTGCTTATCGATAATGTTTTACTCTATTTTGAAATGTCTAATACTAGCGCTTCGCTCCACAAAATTTCTTCGTCTAAGCCACTGTATTTTCCTTACTTTCTCATTTAAGTCACCTTGAAAAATTATCCATGCAATATTATTCCTATGAAGATTTGGATTCTTTGGTCTTTAAGCTCTATTTCAAAATTTCTTCCACGTTAGGGTATACACATTATTATATGTAATATAAAAGGTCTAAGATTCATCAACTCGTGGCATTCTATACTAGAACTATATGAAAATGCGAAAAAGAAAAGGAAAACATCTTTAAGGAAATAGAACTTGAAAACTTTAATTCAATTTCATAATTCATGAATTTTTCTTAGATTTTCACTATTTAAGTTATATACAATAAATGCAGAAATATGTTTGTGACGTCACCAACTGATCTAAATCTACATTCTAATTGAAAATATTTTTCGATATTAAGGATTTCATCTATATGCATAATTTATTTGTGTTTTGTATGTGTCATGTATTATTGTACATGACAGAGTTAAGGATCTTTACGGTAAACTTATTTATAGGAATGATTTATTTAGGAATTTAAGCAGATCTTTGCAAGATACTTTCTCTGGCTACGACGTAAAGTAAGATAAAAAAATATTTCTACTTGAGAGTCGACAATTGGATTTCTGTATTTAGAATAACCGCTTATATTATTATCCTTACTTTTTCAGATTTGTTGTTTAAAGTGCTTGCGAGAAGCTAGCTCTTCGGTTGATATACAACCTGGTTTCAGTATGCAGGACAAATGGGTCTAAACTCTTAAAAACACAAAGAAAAATGTATCTTAAAGAATTTTCATATATTTTTCTCGAATTTTTTTTTAATATTTTTGCACTCTTTTAAGGTATTGTTCGAATTAAAATCATAAAGAATAAATGAAGATTTGATATTCTGAGTTTTGAGCTCTTGAAGAATAATTTTTAGTTCAACTAATCAAACTCTATTAATTATTATATGAACTCTTAATGTGCAATGAAATTAAATTATATATATCTACTTTATTTTTACTTTCATCACGTTAAAAAGTTTTTAAGAATAGAAAGTTTGTAAATAAATCAGCGTCTAACATTTTATTGAATCGAACAAAGAACTTATATTCTATGAATCCCTTAATAGTTATTTTTTGGTGTAGCGGACAATTCACAGTGGTTAACCCTATTCCTGCTGGGGGGGGGTCAATTTGACCCCCCCCTGTAGTTTTTTTTACATAACTCAAAAAGTAATGGTCTGAGGCTTTTGAAATTTTCTGACTTTTCTTACATACCTAAAGCCCTCCCTTTAGGCCTAAAACCGGGCTTTAATACTAACTGCCTGAGTCCTTAGGCACACTGCCTGAATGACTAATTTTGCCTGTGACAAACTAAATCTTTGTTTTGACCCACTTTCACTTGTCAGATTTTGATAAAATTTAGCTTTTTGGAAAGCCTATGACATAAGAAAACGGATTGCACAAGTTTTGCGAAAAAAAATTGCAAATTTTTTTCAAACAACCTGTCAAAGGAAATTTGCACATTTTTAGTTTTTCTTAATTAAAAATCAGGTTATTTAAAATTTTGCAAAAACTTTTGCATATTTGAAATGGCATGGTCAAAGGCTTTTCAAAAATGTATAATTTTTCATTTTTTGGACAAATTATATTTTGCAAACATTTTTACTATATAACTGGATTTTGCGATAAAAAATTCAATTTTTGCAAATTTGCAAATTTGTTTGCAGATTCTAAAAGTAGAGCACAAGAGCTTTCCAATGATGTATCATTTGTCATATTTGGACATTAAACATGGGATATAGAGGGGGGGGTCAAATTGACCCCCCCCCCAGCGTATCCTGGTTTTCAAGTACCCCAGCAGGGATAGGGTAAAAGGGTTCAGTTTCAGTCCACATAGACCAACTGTGTTTGAGGAATCAAGTATACAATAAATCATTTATTAATTTATCTAATTAAAACACATCATTTTATAATTATTCTTATACTCATACATATACTGTCTGTAAATAGGACAGGTATTTTTCCTCAAAACAAATATTGAATATCCAAAAGATATCGAAGCAATTTAAGTTATGAAAGATAAAAAATAAATAATGGGAATCTTAATTACTGAGTTTGAGGGTGGAGGGGGGGGGGGAATAAAACAAAAGCTAGTTCGAAACAGTTAAAAATAAAACATGACATTTACTTATACAAAAAATGTTAGCTGTACCTCCATCGTCCACTCTGATTTATTGATAACTTAAACATTAAACAATGCGGAAAAATTCTTATACAATTCAGAACAGATTTAAATGTATGGACTTTCTAGTTTAAGAAAGTTTTAAATATTTATTTGCAAATATCTTCAAAAAAATTAAAAATAAACTTTTTGATGTTTACATTAAAAGAAATATAAAAAAATATTCGCCAAAATGATACTTCAATCCTTCGGTTATCAAAAAGAGATATTTTCGACCTTCTAAATATCCTAGTAAAGATCCAGACCCAGGCCTGTAGTCAGGGGAGGGGGTGCAAGGGGTCAGTTGCACCCCTCTTTCTCATAAAATGGGGGTGCAACGACGAATTTGCCCCCCCCTTTTAAATAAGTTGCTTGGTATGATCTTCTCTGGAATAATTGAGATATTAGTATTCAAAGTTTTCAAAAATGGTTATCATTCTGTATACTGTATAGTGTATGTACTAAAGCTGTTCCCTCAGACCAACCAAATTAATCATTTTTTGAAAAATATTTATCCTGAGGTAAGATTTTCTGATCGAACTGGTTTGTTGTTCTTTCGCATATGTTGATAAACATACATACTGTAAGCATGGAGAGAAAGCTTACGTGTACATAAACTGTAGGAAACGATAACAGTGGGACCGATGACAAGTCTCTTCATCTGTATCATTTAGAGATATTTATCCGCTGAGTAATGCTGGCTCCGCATGGAAAAAAGATACCAACGTTGAAACCTGGAATTAGAGAGTAGAGTTCACCCAGTAGGAGATGCACACGGGCTTGAAAACCAGGCCAAGAATAAGGCAGGAGCTGGGCTAAAGGCGGAATATCGATCAGTTTTGACAAAGGATCCCAAGAGTGATCTTGATCAGGGCGAATGAACAGGCGGAGGATCCGCCAAGAGAGCTCCGGCTTTCATGAGTCTATAGTATACAGTAGTATCATTTTTTAAGTGTTATTTTTTATTTATAAATACATTTTTCCCCTATACTCTGTGGATTTACTTACGTCGGGTTTAAAGCTATTTATTTGATTTACTCTGACAATTAAAAATCATTGAACGTGAGTAGTAATATCAAAATTATCAACATTTTTTATAATCCAATATAGTAAAATTTGAACTTAAAACTAAATTTTGAAAAATTTTCTGTGAAATACAAATCATAAAGGTCAGGGAAAATCGAATTTTCACTGTAACATTAGTTCAATTACTAAATTGTTGTTGACAATTGTAAAATAATCTACATCACATAAAATTCAAACTAAAATTACTAGTTTTCATACCAAAATTACAATGATTTTTATGCATGGGGGGCACTGCACTACATTTCACTATGTGATCCTGGGACCATACTTCATCACCCCTCTTTGCATCCCCCCTTGAAAAAAAATCTAGCTACGGGCCTGGAAATATCTGATTCCTTCTTTAAATGAGGGATGTTTAAAACTGAATAAATTGAGTTGATATAAGCAAAGAAATGTCACTTAGCCTTATTCATCATGGTTTAAAAACAAAAAAATGGCAAGAATTGTTCTCTTGATATTTATTTAAAAAATAGCTTTATTTTATCTATTTCTTTTGTTACTTACTGTGATTAAACTAAAGAAATAAATAGTTGTAAAATGTTTGTTTTTGTCTAGTTTTCATGACTTTATAATAATTGTGTGTAATGATCACTCTTCCTATTTGATTATCAATAAACAAATTAAATTAAACAAAACAGAGCCCGCGATTTAAAAAACTCGGAAAAATACGGCTCGGGTCTAAGCTGTCGTTGGGCTTTATTTACGGCTTGAGCTTTCGGATTCAAGCTGCATCTTATTTTCTACAGAGTTGAGTTTAAAAAACCGGTTTAATATTCTATTTGGCGGATTTTCATGGTAGGAATTGGCGCATTCCCAGTTTTTAAGAGAACAAGACGCAACATTGAGCCTTATTCTCCACTTAAACCAACTAAGGTCGGTTTTATTTTCATTGGGCTTAACTCCTTCAGTCGAGCCGAAGATCTGTCAATCACGCGACACAAGCTGTCGTCATAGTTGAGTCTAAGATTGGGTCTAAAAGTCGGGTTTAAGGAATTACGGCTCGAGCCGAAGTTTTTTAATCGCGGGCTCTGTTATTGTTTAATGTAATTATAATAATAGCAAATTTTGTTCATTTTGAAATATTTCGTTCACTAACGGGAAATGTAAAAAAAACTTTTTTTTAATATCTTTTTTAAAAAATGTAAATTTTGAATCTGTAAATAAAATTATGAAAAAGTTACGAAATATATTTTGTAAGTCGGACGACTCTTTGGCCGTCCTCTTCCCAAAACTTAATTTTTTTTTTAACAAAAGGAAACAAGTTTTTACCACAAACTTAAATTTTCTAATTTTTAATCTTAGCAATCTGATGGTGTAAACTTACGATATTTTAAAGTAAGAATATTTAATCCAGCAGAATTTATAGTTTGTAATATTACAGATTTACTATATTTGGTTGCAATAATGTATGGATAAGAAAATCAGAGTTTGGGGGTGAAAATTTTATTCCTTTGTTCTCAAGTTTAGTTCGAAAAGTTTGAGCGTTCTCTAGTACAAGAAAAAACGAGGGGGAAGAATTATCAAACGGGATAAACAAGAAACAACCTTTTGTATAAGATTTCTAATCCAAATTGGCAAGATAATCAGAAAAATTTCAAATCTTGATTAGACTTTGGTTGGTTAACAGTTAAATTTAGCAATTTTTTCAATCTCCTGCATTTATTTAGCACAAAATATCCACTCAGATCTTGCCACAAACTCAAATTTTCAATCCCTATATTTCCTATCATATTTGATGTTTTACTATTTGTTGCAAAAACCTTTTTCGTTTTCGTACATTACACATTCTGGACAAACATCGAAGACATCAAAATATTCTGTAAGTAACCTTGACATTTGGCAATACTCAAAACACTTGCCATATACAAACTCTAATTTTCTACACCCAATACTTTTGCAACCTGATGGTGAAAACATTGATATTTCAAACTTTGACTTTTTGAACTACCATGGATTTCATGTAAAGATTAGAAAATTAGTTCTTGTGTAGTTGAGAATGTTCAGTTCCTTTGTACTAATCTCAGAATATATATACCATAGAATAACATGGGTGGCACCTGTATTGGTATGACAATGAAACATGTATTGGTATGTTCTTGAGTACATGTAGTACACTGTTCTTGGGGGGATTTATTTTGATCCATTACATGATTTCTTAGTATAAACCAAGGTGAATTGAATGAATTGAATAGGAGGGGGCGATAGGGTTTCCGTACACTTTACTGTGACGTTTTTGGACTGCTGAAGAACTAGTTTTTGAGTAACAACAATAACAAAGGCAGCCGATCTAATGTAAACAAACATGAGTTAGTATACGGTGAATCTTCATCTAACGCGCCAGAGATGCCAGATGGCTGTTTATCATTTGTGTTATTGTTTACAATCTTTATTATTGTTATTACGCAAAAAGTAGTTCTTCAGCAGTCCAAAAAAATTCGGTTGAGAATGTTCAGTTCCTTTGTACTAATCCATTACTATATCAGAATGTTCAGTTCCTTTGTACTAATCCATTACTATATCAGAATGAAATTATATTTGCATTTATCATCAGACCTTCATTATGTTACCCTATATAAATCTATGAATCTAGAAGAAAAAATAGATGGAAAAGTAGAAAATCTGGTTTCTTGAAAGTCCCAGTGGAATTGAGATAAAAGCGTTTAGATAATTAAATAAAATAAAGAAATATATTTCTTCATTAAACAAAACGGTCTAATTTATTAGTTACTCATTGGCTTATTTACACGATCATTATAAAGTAATATGTATAACATTATCCGAAACTACCACATAAAAAAATATTTTTGAAAATTCCAAACGGTAAAATTTAAAGATTATCATTGTTATTTTT